AAACAGTTCACCAGTCATGGAAGGAGTGAATTTATCACACATGGTTTAATTTGCCCTTCACTGAGATATTTAATTTCTGTTGCAGGGGCCTTGCTCAGTCACATAGTATCTGACCTGGCAATGGCAGCCTAGCAACTGGGTACAGAGAAGCTACCCCAAGCAGGCTCTGGGGTGCAGGGCACAGGGAGATGTTAATTATTTACAGTGGTGGATTAGTGAGGCTGTGGAAGTGTGCCGGGGCCAACATGTGCTAGAGTCAATGGCCTTTTCCTCCAAAGCACACACACACAATGTGTTTATCTGAGGGCCTGAAAATGCACAGGTTTAATTATACAACATTTCTTGGTGGGTAAAAAGCAGTTTGTACAGCTGAATGATAATTAAATTTAGGCTAAATAAATCAAGTCTTATTAGAATGATTAATTTTCAGAATAGTCATAAGCATTTTAGTTCTACAAAAAAGAAAGCTACCATTCAGATTTTAAATACTATGTCTAACATGTCTCGTGCTAAAATGATCATAGGCTAATATTAAACGAGGTGTGCAGAGCCCCCACTTAGGTCATATATGGGAGTGAGAGACATTCTCATTATGGTTAATAATAACAAAAATGGGGACTTCCCTGTGGTCCAGTGGTTAAGACTCTGCACTTCCACTGCAGGGGGCAAGGGATTGATCCCTGGTAGGGGAACTAAGATCCCAAATGCTGCGCTGTGCATCCAAAAAGTAAAATAATAATGATAATAATAACAAAAATGTGAAAATGAGAGATTATTAAATAGGACAAAGAGGAAACACTATGGTTTCTCTGGTGTGTGAGTGTGTACACCTGACACCAAGCAAGAAAAAGAGGCACCATTTATTGAGCACCAACTATATGCCAGATGTTTTACATACATTTTTGTTGTAGGAAGTAGGTATGATTATTATCCCCATTTTACAGATAATGTAACCAAGACTTGGGGGACAGAACAGTCCGCTTAGGGTGAAGAAGCTGGGATTAGCACTCAGTTCTGCTAGGATCTCAAGACCCCTTTCTTTTCACTATACTGTACACCAGACCAAAAGACCTTAGCGCAGACAAAGAAGACTGGGTTGACCCACAATGCAGTAGGGGAAACGGCTAGAGCCGTGGGAACTGAAAGGAGACACAACACCAAACTCTGTTTTCATTCACACCCAATATTCCTACACTTTCAGCCAGAGCTTCCCAGCTTGAGTCTCAACTGTGTTCTCTGCTGGGATTCAGCAGGTCTGACCTTGTCTGCCAAATGGAGGATCCAAGCCAGAGAAAAAGGCATTTGTTGGAGGAGCTGAAGAGCCTTGGAGAGAACTCATCCCAGGGAAGGAGGAGGCAGTACAGTGAGTGTGCCCAAATTCCAAAGCCTCAGTGAGCATGCTAGGTGGTCTGAGACTCACCCTACCCAGTTCTCTTTCCTCCCCTCTCTCCTTCCATGGGTAACAGACCTGCATTGAGGTCTGAAGGCTCTCCCTGGCATCTCCTGCTCAGTCTCCCAATAAATCTCTTGCACATCTAGTCCTGCCTTGGTGTTCGCTTCTTGCTGGAACTTAACTAACACAGAGGCACTGACCCAGAACCTTCTTCCATGTCACAGGCCATTAGCATCTCTAGCACATAGGGAAAAGGGAGTCTTGAGTGCCTGGTGGTTGTGGGCTTGTTTTTAAACATATGACTGTACCTTCATTCCTAGGGCTACAGGACATACCTGGAGGGGCTTTGCAGAAGGATGAGATACCTGTTAAGCAGGTGGGGCAAGATCCCATGAAACGTGGGCTATGGCTACGTGACTCCATTGGGGGCCATAGGCTGGTGAGATGACGAGACCTGGAAAAACTGAGGTTATAAACACACAATAAAAATATCACACTGAACTGATAATAACTGCTATCATAGGCAATGTTTAGTTTCTATAGCAAGAATATTATAATAATATTGGATTTATAAATTAGATAAAATAGTAGCAATACATATTTACTGCTTGCTATATGCCAGACCACGCTAAGTTCTTTACGTGATAACCCTAAGGGAGACGCTTATTCAATATCTTTTATGCTAAGAAAACCTTGCTTTTGTTTGAGACAACAATGCATCAGCCCCAGGTAACTCCTGTTCTCTGTAGTCCCACCTTCTTTTGCACTAAGAGGTGGCCACACCTCTGTCCAGGAGACCGAAGCAGAAGTCGGCTGGGGTTGGGAGGTGGGGGGCTGGGTTAGGAAACATGCTTCTCCTAGAAGACGACAGGGCAAAACCCCTCACCTTCTTCAGGTCTTTGCTCCAATGTCACCTTCCCAGTATGACCTACCCTGAACACTCTGTTCAACTATATACTTCAATTTAAAAAAAAAATAGGGCTTCCCTGATGGTGCAGTGGTTGGGAGTCCGCCTGCCGATGCAGGGTACACGGGTTCGTGCCCCGGTCCGGGAAGATCCCACATGCCGCGGAGCGGCTGGGCCTGTGAGCCATGGCCGCTGGGCCTGCGCGTCCGGAGCCTGTGCTCCGAACGGGAGAGGCCACAGCAGTGAGAGGCCCGCGTACCACAAAATAAATAAATAAATAAAAAACTTATAGAGCCTGGTACATAGCAGGTACTCAAAACATTTTTTTCTTTACCTTTGAGGGAACACGTGAAAATAAAACAGGGAAAATTGCTGGAGAAAGCACAGACCAGCAAGCACAAATGCCCTGGGACAGGAACATGCCTGGCATGTTGGGTACATAGGAGTCTGGCATGATGAGGGGAGGAGAAGGGGAGATAAAACCAGGATGACAGAGGGGAGCCTGACCACACGAGGGCTTGCAGGCCCAGGAAAGCATTTGGCTCCTACTCCTACTCCTAGTGAGCTGGGAAGCCCAGGAGGAGCTCTGAGCAGAATGACAGCCTCTGGCTTCCATTTAAAACCACCACCTGGCTGCTGTTGAGAGAGACTGAAGGGAGAACCGTCACGCCACTGTGAAAATCCCAGCTGGCGATGATGGTGGCTTGGACCACGGTGGTAACAGTCAGGAAGGCGAGACATGCTCAGGTTCTGGGTGTATTTTGAAGATGTAGTCAACAGAATTTGCTCACAGATTGGGCGTGGATTGTGAGAGAAAGGGAGAAATGAAGGATGACATCAAGGTTTTTGCCCAAGCAACTAGAAGCAAGGTGACTGGAAGGACTGCAGGAAGCATGGGTTTTGGAGGGAAATTCAGGCACTCAATTTTGAACGTGTTTAAATATGAGATGCATATTATACACCCAAGGAGAGACATTATGTACTCATATGAATATACAGTGCTTGATTTTATGGGAAAAGTCCAGGCCAGGGATAGAGGTAGTATATAAAGCTATGAGACCGGATGGATTCACCTAAGCCATGGGTGTGGATTTAAAAAAAAAAGGAAAGAAAAAGAAAGTTCAAATACAAGGATGAGCCGTGGGACATTCCAGTAATGACAGTGACCTGTGCGGGGCACCACCACCTTACATGCAGGTGCTCATTTGCCCTTATAAAATGTTACAAGGTAAACACTCTCAACCTGACTCCATAGACAGGGAATGTTTCACAGCTATGTGTCATCTGTCCAAAGGCACACAGATGGTTAAGTGCTACTACCTACCTGACTTCTGTGTACATAGCTTTTTTTTTTTTTTTTTTTAATATTTACTTATTTGGCTGTGCTGGGTCTTAGTTGCGGCACGTGGGATCTTCTTTGCTGCATGCAGGATCTTCAGTTACGGCATGTGAAGTCTTAGTTGTGGCACGGGGGCTCTAATTCCCTGACCAGGGATCGAACCCGGGCCCCCTGCACTGGGAGCGTGGAGTCTTAGCCACTGGAACACGTTTTACCTCCTCTAGCAACTTATAAACCTTGGCATCATCCTTTGTCTTCCCTTCCCCACCCAATCAGCCTTTCATTTTTTATTTTCACATTAAGCTTCAGGACAGGGTGCCCTAATCTTTTACCTTGAACTATTACAACTGTCTCCTAATAGGATTTCCTGCCTTGAGACTCTCCCACTCTAATCCGTCCCTTATCTTCCTGAGTATAAAGCTGATCGTGTCACCTTCCTGCTTAGCCCTTTCATTAATTCCCCAGCATCTGCAAACTCTAATCCAGCTTCTTTAGTTTGGTTTACGGGAGCCTTCACCATCTGGCTCCAAGCTGCTTCTCCAGTCTCATCTCCTGCCACTCTCCCTGCCACCCACCTCTCACGCTAGTCACTTTCCTGTGATGTTGAATCTGCTACTGAGGTACATCAAGCTCTTTCACAACTCAGTTTCATACGCTCTTTCCTTTTTGTGCCCACACTAGTTAAACCTTCAGTACAATATTGACTAGAAGACACGACAGTGGGCACCATCTCGTTCCACACTTCTGAGGAAAACTTCCAGCTTTTCACCATTAAGTATAACGTTTGCTGTAGGATTGTTTTAGCTACCCTGCATCCGATTAAGGAAGTTTCCTTCTTTTTGTAATTGCAAAGAATTTATTATCATGAGTGGATGTTGACTTTTAAGGAATGTTTTTCTGCATTTTTTTTGTATCATAAATTCCCTCCTTTAATCAAACATCGATTTATTTTCTACTGTTAAATTTACCTTATATTTCCTGGATAAATCCAACATGATCTTCATGTGTTATCCATTTCTATGCGTATATTTCTGGATTCCATCTGCTAATATTTTGTTGAGCACATGGCCTGACGATCTGTGCAGTGGCCCAGTGGGAGCACGTTTTGGTGAGGTGACCAAAAGCAACCTGATAATTAGGAGCAAAGTTTGAGCTCCACTTCTGTCTGGGATTAGGGGCTCTGAATGGATGTCAGGTGAGGACTGAGGGTGGATGTCTGAAGCTCTGTATTATTACAGGAAAGTGAAAATTTCATTATCAATAGCTTTTATATTCAGTACAAAGTTTAGTACATATTCAGTCCAAAAATGGAAACAGATCTTATTGTTTAATTCAGAAGTTTTAATAGCAGTGAAATAAAAGCTTGATATGCATAAGTAAACCTTTTTCACGTTTAGTTTTGCTAGTTCACCTTACATAAAAAATGATGAGTAAAGAAAAGCCCCACAAAGCCCTCAAAACACCCCTACAGAAAGCTTTTCTATATCATTTCCTTGTTTGACATTGTCTCTTCCACTTTGATTAGACCAAGATTGATGAGGATGTCCTTTTCCAGTTCCAAATAACTCTCATAGTCCATTTTCAATTTGGCTTCCAATTGTTCTTTTGACTTCTGATACGTTTCCTAGGGGGGAAAAAAGCAAGTCATTTGTATAAAACTCTGGCAGCTAGAGATACCAAAGGCTGGGAAGGGGCTATTTTTGAAAGTCTGGCCTGCCTGCTGTTCTCTGGAAGGGCTGTGAGGGGCAGAGGGCAGGGGGGCATCTCTTGCACAGTCAGGGAGAGAGGCTGCTGGCTCTGAAGGGGAGGGGCAGAGATGAGCGGAGCGGTGTGTGCGGACTCCAGGCATCTCCTGGCGGTGGGGCTGACCCAGTCTGCCAATGGACTGGATGTGGGCTCTCGGGGGCAGGGGCAATCCAGGCTGGCCTACGAGCTCCTGCCACTGATGCAGGGAGGAGCACATTGAGAGGGGAGAGAATAACAATGAAGGGCATTTATTCAGCTAATTTACCCAGCACCACTTGCTGAATAATCTGAGTCATCTGTTTTGTTCTTTGATCTGTCAGTGTTCACCTGAGTACTGCTCTGGTTTAATAACTGTGACATTTTAATTTATTGTAATATCTGCTGGGGCAGTCATTACGATTTTTAAGATTTTGTTTTTTCTCATCTGTGTCTTCTTTCAGAGGAACTTTAGGGTCACTTCACACAGGATGGTGTGTCATCCTGTGTTGCTTTTGTTTTTTCTCCTCTTGTCCTGTCCCCATCCTAATGTCTTCCTGTGCCTTCTGATGACTTGTCACAAAGTCCTGTCTTTGTGGATTCCATCAAAGGGACCAGAACTGTATTTTATTCTAGTTTCTTTAGAGAATAATTTGCAAGAGGTATTTTCCTCTTTTGAATATTCACAATGACTGATGTTCTCTTCCCCTGCCTCTGCCACATTCTTTCCGTATGTTTGCTTTTCCCCCTCTCTTAATATCTCTGCTTTCTCAGGTTCTTCATGTCTAATCATTATAACTGCTTCATAGCATGGTGAGGATTAAATGAATTATTAAATAGGACAGGCCCTCAGAATGGTGCATGCGCCCAGTAAGCACTTGTTAGCTACACTAACCAATTCACAAAAAGAGCACGACTTGATAAGGTGAGAGTAGAAAAATGTTATTCTTCTAACCTTTGTCCTTTACAACATATGTGACAGATTCCATAGCACTTCCTATCATTTTTAGGTATTAGAAATAGTGTCGTTTTCAGGTATTTGAAGACTCAGGCCAGTCCAATATCCAAGTGAAGGCTGCCCCTTGTGGCTCCCACTGCAATGCCCCCCTGTGCACCTCCAGGCTCTTTCTGTAGATCGCCTCACCCCACTTAGAAAGTCCTTTGGGACACCTGATTTGAGCCTAGCTACTTCCAAGTTTCCACCTGGCCCCAGGAAAACTTACCACCCTCACTCTGCCATCAGTACAAGTTCATTGCCCCTGGTCCTCTCTCCACCCATCTGTCAGAGCAGTTTAAGCCAATCTTTTGCCTGCAGACTTTCCAACCATAGGAGTCAGGTCCCTGTCCCTGTGTTTCCTAAATTCTCCCTGGACATTCTGCTCTGGTCCCTTGGTAACTCCTAGCTCTTGGATTTCTGTGGCTCCGGAAGCCTCCTGCCAGGTGTACGAGGCCAATGGTCCATCCTGGCCAGCAACCTATCTCTAGCAGTGCTTCTCTTGAAGGTTTCCTCCCAGAGTCTGGGTGGTGTTGCAGAAGTGGGAATGGGGAATACACAGCGCTCCAACACCTCTCTCCAAAAAAAAAAAATCCCCTTTTCCAACCTTCTTCCCCATAATTCTTGCCTCCCTTGTGTTGCCTGGAGTGTGGGTCATTGACTAGGGGTTGCAGAATTCTTTTGAATTCTTCCGTCTTCTCTGTCCCATAGAGATGACATAATGGATCATATGGAAACTGCTACTTTTCTCAGTTTCGGGTGTCCAGCTGAAATTCCAGTTAGGAAAATTCCCATTTTGTGTGCTGTTAGAGCTGTAATTACTATTATTTTTCAATAAGTGAGCGGTATCCAGATTCAATGTTTGCAAAGAGATGGGTATATGATTTCCCTCACATGTGTGGGTTGAAGTGCACAGCCTAATCCCTGCCATTTGGGGGGCGTTCATGAAAACCAGCCTTGCTGGACGGATGTGTGATCGCCCCCTGCCCTCGGTAATAATATTAATAGTGGACACTTCCTAACTGCCAGTTACTGGCTAAGTGCTGCAAATATTTCAACTCATTTAGTCCCCACTGCAATCCGCTGAGGTTGTTAGTTTGTTCCCATTTCCCCTATTATCAGCAGTTGCTTGTAAGGAGATACTTCTGACCAACATTAGTTATTTTTCCTTGGTGCCCCTTTTCATTTTCTAAATGTAACAGAGGAGCCCTTTTAAATGTATTCACTTATCCACAGTCTAGTTCCAGAGAAAACTTGACAAGTGGTAGCTCTAATTTAAGAAGGGTACTATGTCAAATGGAAATGAAGTTACAAGAAGGTGGAAAAGTTTTGGAAACTCAAAAGCATCATACAATTCCAAGATATGATTATTATAATATTCAAGTTTTTAAAAAGTACTTCACATTGTAAATTATTTTTGGATTATCCACAATTCTATGTGGCTAATTAGCTGTCACTATGTTATTGAAACACTCCTAGTAATCGATGATTGCTGGTGTAGGAAAGGGTGGCAGATTTTCACCCAGTGTTTGTGGTTGTACAAAAGAACAGACCAAGACCAATTTTTTTTTTTTTTGTAGCAAAAGAAAACAAAGAAAAGTTAATTAATTGGTGTTCTTTTATACCTTGTCACCACTAAACAATGCTTTTAAATGATGCTCCCTCTGTTTTTGTTCCACTAATTCGTATATATCAATGTGATAATGTTAATCTATTTGCTAATGCAGTACATTAAAATATTTCCACATGCTTGTGCTTTTAATTGAGACCTAGGGTCTTACATGAGTAATTACATTGGAGGAGGCTATATATTTGGCTATAAGGAAACAACAGGCGGTGATGAAATTGTTGGTGACAAAAGGGCAAGGAAGGGAATGAGCAAGAGACAAGCAGAAATATGGACTGAGATGACCTCAAGTGAGAAAGAAAGAAGAGCTGAATTCACAGAATATTTCAAGGCCCTAAATTCCAGTGGTCAAGGGAAGACCAAAAGAGTGATGGAATTCACATCAAACAGAGAGGCTGAGGAAGAGGATGGGGGCTTCAGAGATTTAGGTTCCTTTTTGGTAAATTTTTTTTTTTTTTTTGCGGTACGCGGGTGTCTCACTGTTGTGGCCTCTCCCGTTGCGGAGCATAGGCTCCGGACACGCAGGCTCAGCGGCCATGGCTCACGGGCCCAGCCGCTCTGCGGCATGTGGGATCTGCCCGGACCGGGGCACGAACCCGTGTCCCCTGCATCGGCAGGTGGACTGTCAACCACTGTGCCACCAGGGAAGCCCTGCACTGTTTTAATGCATTATTCACTAGATGTTAAAATTCTATGAAATGAAAGCATTCGAATTTGAATCTTTGTATCTATAATTGGTATTTAGATACCACTGTATCTAAAGGCCTTTGAAATATAGAAAATTTCAGAAACTTAAATTGGGTAGAATCTCACTAGGTGTGTCTAACTGGTTGTTCGGACTCATAGTAAGCTAGGAAATCAGAGAAATGCCCCCTTGACTCCCATCAGAACAAGAATGAAGAAAGGCATAATTTTTCTATTAAAATTGTGGAATAAGCCAAACAAATATATTCTCAATGGCATTAGAGGAAAGCAATTATTGTTTCTGAAATTTAACTTACAACTTTTTTCTTCTCCATTTCCATTTCTTTCTTTTCTTCTTCCCGAATTTTTTTGCGCTGTTCTACATATTCTAGATGCTTGACTTCTCTTTCAAAGTAGTAGCTTATCCTAGATACCTGTTAGAAGCAGAGGCCCATGAGAGGGGGACCCACATGGAAGCCCCCATGTTCTTCATGAGGCGCTGAAGAATTTCTGCGGCTTGTAAGTTATTAGCTAGATTACCTGCTTTGGGATAATGCCCACAGGCCCACTATCAGAGGAACTAGCTAATTTGGGGGCTACTGGGCTAAGGTTTAGGGGCCTGCAAATTGAGGGATGGCAGGAAAGGAGTGGGATTGGAAGGAGAGAGCTGCAAAAAATTGCAATTTTGTTGGAGAAATATTCAGGGATTGCTCCCACCCCCGCTTCTTTCCTTCTCACTTTTAAGACTAAGGGAAGTTTCACATCATCAAACAAACTTGGAAAACCCAGATGAGGATGTCAATGGAAACCGTAAAGGGACTGGAAGCACAGCTGAGTTCCTGGTCCCCTGGAGAGTTAAACGTGTGGATGTAAGAATAGAAGCAGGGAAGTCAGCAGAGACCTTGGGCAAGGCCACCAAGGGAAGGAAAGTTTTTTGCATACCAGTAACTAGGGTGATGTTGTTGGGACTTGCAACAGATTGCAATCTATATGTTTAATGTTGGTTGCATACATATTTATGTATTTCTACATATTGATCTTCTTTTTATAACCTAATTATTAACACTGCTTGAAACCCTTGGGTGGTGTGCATGGAGTGGCAGAATACTGCCACTTCAGACCTGCTGCCTGCAGCACACCAAGCTGGGGAAGGACGGGTGGAGGCTGGCAATGGATAGATGCATAAAAATGTCAGCTGGGCCCTCTGGGAAGGATATCACTGAAATAAGGGTCCCACGCTTAGGTTACAACGTGAAAATAACATCTTATGATTATGAATCCCCAAATCAATTCCTCTCTGAATCTGGGCTTCATTTACTTGGACTTTCTTTTGCTGCATGCTTGTTTTTTTTTTTTTTCCCTAGCTTTAAACCATTTATCTCATAAAACAGAAATACCTCCCCTTTTTTAAAATTTTTATTTTATATTGGAGCATAGTTGATTAACAATGTTGTGTTAGTTTCAGGGGTACAGCAAAGTGATTCAGTTATACATATACTTGTATCTATTTTTTTTCAAATTCTTTTCCCATTTAGGTTAACATCCCCTTATTTTTGACTGCATGATTCTTTTGTTCTCTTAAAGAGCAAAAATGCTGTCATTTCTTTTTTTTTTTTTTTAACATCTTTATTGGGGTATAATTGCTTTACAATGGTGTGTTAGTTTCTGCTTTATAACAAAGTGAATCAGTTATACATATACATATGTTCCCATATCTCTTCCCTCTTGCGTCTCCCTCCCTCCCACCCTCCCTATCCCAATGCTGTCGTTTCTGAACATACTTCTAAAACATGCCTCAGCAGTATCTGATCACGTAAATCCTCAAAGCCAAAAGTTACTAACCTCATTGGTGGAAGGGCGACTTAGTGTCCAAGGAATTTCCAATATATGCAGTGTTCCATAATAATCAGCTATGGCTATAAATTGCTGCTTAGCTGAAAGATTAAAAAAATGTGGGAGAAGAACAACTCTGCAATCAGAAAGCCACTTTAGAGGTTAAACATGTGCTGTGTTTTTGTTTTGTGATTTCCCGAAGGACCCGTTGTGGTTACAATGATCTTGGCTGAGACCCTGAGTCTTCGTCAGCCACCCTGCTCACCCCCAATCATGTTTTCTCAGCCTCTATATAAGGAGTGTGGCTCCTAGCTGAGATGGACCCTCTCTGACTGGATCCACCGGGCAGATTTGAAAAGAAAGCAGGGACAACACATGGAAGATTTTCAAAAAAAAAATCATCATGCCAATTTTCACCAAAGACATAGTAAGGGCTAAAGGATGCCATTATCCAGATGAATTTCAAAGACACAGCCAGAACCGGTTTTCTTATTATAAAACCAAATTGCTTCCTTTGATCATTTAAAATGGATATAAAACCCGAATGTGTTTGAAAATTTAGTTTTCTCTCTCATCAACTTTTTTTTCCTCATTTTCAGCAGGTCTGGTTCAAATTGCTAAATCCTAGACTTGTAATCCCTGGAGGTATACAAAAGCAACGTTTTGTAGCAAAGATGGGAAAACACACTTTGGTGACACATACGGCCGAGTAGTATTAGTCAGACTCTGACACTCTCAGAGATTCTGAAGACTGTGTTTCTAAATGTAATGTTTCTTCTGAGAAAGAAATGAATAGAAAGACAATTTTATGCCTGCACATCTTTGGAAACAAAGGGAAAGTTCTTTGAAATGGAGCAAATATACATTGAATTTGGGTAGAAAGTATTACTTGGGTGAAACAGAGAAATTGGGACAAAGGATATAAATTACTTTTCCATCGACACATTCTTAAATTTCTGCTTGCTCTGTTATACATTACCTTTTTCCTCTTTATGAGTTTAAAAGTTATAGTTTAAAGAAATATATGACCCCACAGAGTCATTTGATCTCAAGAAGGAAACTGCTTGATATTGTCCAGTGGAGGGCCATAAAATATTGAAAATTTGTGACATAATGAAAAATTAAAGGTACAGAACTTATTCTATTTGGAAAAGAAGCAGCAAAATGTAGCAAAGATTTAGGGTTCACCCTGTGATTTAGGGACCCGGAGAGGGTGAGAAGGATGCTTTTTTTTTTTTTTTTTTGCGGTATGTGGGCCTCTCACTGTTGTGGCCTGTCCCGTTGTGGGGCACAGGCTCTGGACGCACAGACTCAAAGGCCATGGCTCACGGGCCCAGCCGCTCCGCGGCATGTGGGATCTTCCCAGACCGGGGCACGAACCCGTGTCCCCTGCATCGGCAGGCGGACTCTCAACCACTGCACCACCAGGGAAGCCCGAGAAGGATGCTTTTTATTGTGTGGTTTAAAATCAGCCTCTGCTTGACATACTAAAATGTGTCTCAGAAATAACTGTTGATGAAGAAAACAGTGAGAGAAACTCAGGTTGTATCCAGAATTTGAAAAGGGAAAGGAAGGGGAATGATGGGAAGGAAAGAGAAAGGAAGGGAAGAGATGGAATGGGAAGAAAAATCTTGAGAAGAAACATCGGAGGCTTTCCAGTTGAATGTCAAAATGTTCCTAAGCTAGCCCCAAAAGGCAAAATGACTTAGCTCATTCAATCAGAATTAACATACCAGAAAAGGTCCAGGGTTTGATGTATGTGATCATAGTTATACAGATGTTTTGTGACTGGACTGGTTCGTGGGTTTTCTCCAGAAGGTCCCAGATATCGATGTATCCATCTTCTCGGCCAATGTAAAAGACTCCAGGCCTTGTCAGGGACCAGTGCCCTGAGGTGTACCTTTTTGGTGCACAGGATGACTGAAGGAGGGGTCCAGTCTAAAAAGAAATTAAAAAAAAAAACAAATTAAAAGCTTTTGTTGTTATCTGAGAGATATTCACAATGATTTTTTAAAAGTAAAACTCAGATGGCTATGATCATATAAAAGATCAAACCTTCCAATCGAGCTATTTATGGTTCTAATAATCCAACTGCTGCTAAATCCATTGCTCTTTCTATGGAGACTGATGGACACCGGAGAAGTAAAGATTATAAGCAAATTTTGCCTATATCTTTATTTTCTTGTCAGGTGCCTGCTCACCATGGAAATAGCTCTGGTAGGCAGGAAAAGGGAATGAAAAGTCAATTCTATCTGTGAGCTGCACCCAATGGCTTATTAATATTATTTGGAAGAGATTCTGGACCACCAAAGCAACATAAGATCATCTTATCTTTTCTCTATTTTGGGGTAATTTGCCTTCTTTGGGAGGTTTTCATAGAGACTGAAGATCAGAATGTGCTCTCTTCCCACCGTCATGCCCCGCCTGGGCTCATTCACCAACTTACATCTGCGGGACTAAACTAAGTCATGAGCTGCTCTCCACCTTCCCATACATGCAAACAAAACCTTCCTACAGGGAACAACGAAGATCACCAATTCACGGACTCCTTAGAGGCAACAGGCCAAACCTGTTGCTCAGCTCCTTGAGTTTTGGTGGATAACCAGGTTCCTGACCCCTGCATGGTCTTTGGACAATCTTGCCTACATTTCTTTTGTCTTCCTCTTTAACCGCAAAACTCATGCTTGCTTGTTGTAAAAAAAAAAAAAAAAAAATGAGCATACAAAAGTACATTGTTATAAAGTAGAAGTCCTTTTGTGGATGGACACTTAAGGAGTTTTCAACTTTTTTCAATGACAAACTTGTACATATATTCACACACATTATTTTTTTGAGTATTCCTGTAAGTTAGAGTCCCAGAAATAAAAGGAAAAAAAGTGTTAGGTCAAAGAATACATATATTACAGCTCTGAAATATATACACACACACACACACACACACACACACATATGTATATACATACTTTTTTACAGATTTTGATAATTTTCTTAAGTAGCTCATGAGAGGGACACATCCTACTGATTTTCCCATGCCCTTGCTTCACTAGATTTTACCAGTCTTTCTAGTTTTGGGCAGTTTAGCTTCTGTCTGCCTGGACCCAGGCCCTGTCCTAATCAGGACCACTGGATTCTTGGCACGGCCTCACCTTGACCCATGCACGTCTCTGCCTGCCTGGTGACGGACCCCTTAGCTTTCCTAGTCCCACTTTCTGAGCCTCCCGACAAATTGCCCAGTGCAAGAGCAGTGACAGACCCATTGCTTCTCCTTAGAGTTCGTGCCATAATCAGCATTCCATCTTGTATTTTAAGCAGAGGGAAAAACATAAATCAAGGGAACTGCCCATGATATACACAGTATTTTGAAGAAAAGACTGTTTGGTTTCAGAGAACAAAAGACTTGTAAATGTTTCCTTCCCTCAGGAAAGAAAAGCAAATGGTTGTGTTTTCCAAAGGCTTGCAGTGGTTCTGCTGACAGGCTGGGGCCCAGGCCATCTGTTCCAATTTCTCTAAAAAATGTCCCAAAGGCATTGCTATGTCAGAACAGTCTGTTTTTCCTATTGTTTTTCTCAATAACAAAGGACCACACACCCACTCCTCCATTTTGCAGGCAACTTACCATAATACCTTCTTTCCAGATGGCCACGTTCCAACCCCCAACAGTGAGGATAATGTCCTTGTAAAAAGGTGATCTCTGAATGGTGTGAACACCTCCATCATGGACTGTGTAGAGGCTCAAGGGCTTCTTTGCTGTTGGAGTGGAAAAGGCCATTTCACCTTTTATAACACTGTTTACATTCCTGCAATGAAGAATGGGCAGACCTCCGATGGACAGATAGGTCCCGATTAATGAGGTCCAAGAGTGGAGAACCAGAGGTCAGTTGGGGTGAATGAATCTGTCAAGGGACAGCTCCTCCTCTTTTTTAAGGCAAGTCCAGGGAAATTCCCATCGAGGCTACTTTTCAGGCTCAAAGGAACACTTCCTGTTCTTATTCATTCACTCATTTATTAGTCTATCAGTCAACAGTATATATTGTTAGTCAATAAATAATTGTGGATTGTTTGTATGTACCAGGTACTGTAGATGGATGGGTAAACAATAGTTAATAAACAAACATGATCTGTCCTCTTGGACCTTACAGTCCAGTGGAAAGACAGATACTCAACAAACAAATCCCAAGGTATATAATAAAAAAAAAATGTGAAAAGTATTTTGAAGTAAAACATATCACAAGAAAGAATAACAAGGGACATTCGTAATTTAGGCTGAATGGTCAGAACAGGCTTCTCTGAAGATGAGTCATTTAGGCTTGAGTTCATCATGGGAAGATTTTGGTGTGGAGTAGCATTCCAGACAGAAGGAAAAATACACACCAAAGTCCTGAGAAGTGTTTAGTGCATTTATTATTTTGAGGAAGGCAATAGGACTGGAGTCTGATAATCCCAGGGTGAGACATAGGAAACAAATGGAGACCAGGAGAGTCCAGACCTTGCAAATCCTTGTTAGGAAAAACATTTAGATTACATTCTAAGTGTCATGTTTTTTAATGAGCCCTTTAGGCCTAGAAGACTATCTGATTGACATACGAAAGGATTCTCTGGTTGCTGTGGCGAGAATGGATCAGAGGCAGGTAAAAGCAAAGAGGGGACACCACGGGAGGTTGTTGCTGTAGTTCTAGTGAGAGAGGATGGTGACTTGGATGAAGGTGCAATGGAGGAGTGGATAATCAGAAACGTTTGCGTGCTAGAGTTGACAGGAGGGGTGAGAGAGATGAGTGCTGAGAATGGCAGCCAGGTTTCTGGTAAGAGCAACAGGCACTCTGTACTTTCCATTTATTGCAACTGGGAAGACTAGAGGACAAGCAGATTTGGATATTAAGATGAAGGCTTCCCCGCTGTCTCTGCCTCAGGCACCAGGGTCCTTCTGCTCCCCTGGTCTACCTCTTCTGCCATGGCTTGGGCTTCCTCTCCCCGGTCCTGGCTTTGGAGCTGGCTGCTCCTTATTCCTTGCTGCCATACCCACAAGCCCCAGGGATGGCCCTAAAAATATGTGCCAGTCCAGGCCAAAGCACAATGTGTGGCTATTTTATACTAAAACCACGAATTTACTCTGAAACTTATCATATTAACAGCTATGTGAAGGTTGGATTTTTTTTTTCTCAGAACAACAATGTAACATTAAGCAGAAAAAAAAGCTACCATAATCTTGTAAAAAGCTGATACAGTGTCAAAGAGATACTTGTCCACCCATGTTCATAGCAGCATTCTTTGCAATACCCAAAAGACAGAAGCAACCCAAGTGTCCATCAATGGATGAATGGATAAACAAAATGTGGTATATCCATACAATGGAATATTATTCATCCTTCAAAAGGAAGGGGATTCTGACATATGCTACAACAGAAATGAAAACTGAGTATATCATTTTAAGGGAAATAAGCCAGTCTCAAAAAGGCAAATACAGGGACTTCCCCGGCAGTCCAGTGGTTAAGACTCTACCTGCCAATGCAGGAGGCACGGGTTTGATCCCTGGTTGGGGAACTAAGATCCCACATGCCGTGTGGTGTGGCCAAAAGCTTAAGAAAAAAGGCAAATACTGTATGACTCCACTTACATGAGGTACTTACAACAGGTACATTCATAGAGATAGAAAGTAGACTGGTGGTGGCCAGGAGCTGAGGGGAAAGAGGAGTGCGGAGCTAGTGTTTAACAGGTACAGAGTCTCAGTTTCACAAGATGAAAAGAGTTCTGGAGATTGGTTGCACAACAATGTGAATGTACTTAACTCCCCTGAACTGTACTTAAAAATGGTTAAGATGTTAAATTTCTTGTTTATGTATATTTTTATCTCAATGTGAAAATTATTTGAAAAAAGTATATTCAGTAAAAATAAATAAGTTTAAACATAGCTCTTCTAGGTTAAAAAAGACCAATTTTCCTCTAACCAGAGCTCCATCTTGAAGACAGCACAGAAGCCTAATTTCTAAGGGCCCCTTGAAGTGATCTGGAGGATTTCTGGGAAGGCAGGAGACCCTTGGAAGCCAGCAGCTTTCTTCTTGCTGTTACTTGTGTCCCTCAGATCCTGGTTTTGTCCTTGGTGAGCCGGGCTTCCCTACACCACCTCACTCTGGTGAGCAGGGCTACGCAGGAGTCTAGAAGCCCTCTGCAAAATGTAATGACCACCAGTGATAGGAATATAGATAGCCATCAAGATTTGTACTTTTAACATGTTAGAGGTTCTCAGCCCATATAACTTTTTCTTCCTTTTGTCCTTTGGAAGACCTTAGAGCCATTCAGCAGTAAATGGAGCTGTCCTTAAGTTATTAAATGAAATGCCAGAGCCCCCAGCCAGGTTATTATAAGAAACTTACAATAAACAAAACAGTAGTTTTCCAGAGTCAATATCTAATGAAGGATTTAGTATACTGATGTGGTTAAGAGCACAGACCATCTGGGTTCAAATCCAGTGTTGCTGTGAGGATTAATCCATGGAGAGTACTGAGTGCCTAACACATGACGTGTGCCAATTTGTGAGTTGAGTACATGAGATGATTATGTTAACTGTCATCATCATCAAATACATCAGCCTGTATTTCTTGGCTTGTCACTTAGATCATCTGTTTGATTTGGACTTCTTCATCACACACAGCTCAGTCAGGGTAATCTGTCTTTCAGAAGTTTCTTCTTAGAAAAGGAAATTCTCCTTCCTGCCTTTTTGTATATTTGAGATAAGAACATGGGGCTCCCAGCAGATCAAGAGAAAATGGCCCCCAGTATTTGCCTCATCTTTACCCAGGAAACCTCCATGGTGTTTATGAAAGACATCAGGCTGGTAGCTTCCAAGGAAAACACTGCCAGTTCACAGAATGTTAAGTAGGGCATGCAATTTACAGTTCAGCATGTCTACACATTGATTTTCCCTGAACTTCAACCATTATCCAATGGAAGTAACAGTGTCATTTGGCTTTCCATGTTACAAAATACTTGACTGGTAATTTTAAAGTATTAAGATGACTTTAAAATAGCCTTTAAGTAGGTGGTTAGAGCTATTTCTCATTTTTTTGGAATGAATTAAATGTCAAGAAATTAACAGCAACTTCTCTTTTTCTTTCCCACTCACATCCCACTGGTCACAAAGTCCTGGCATGATGACTCGTATGTCTCTCTCTCCCTCTTGTATTTCCTCTGCTGGATATCCTTGTCACCCTGCCTATACATCAGTCCTCTCCATCTCTCATCTAGGCTATTGCAACTGGCCATCCTACTTCCCACCAATTAATTAACCCCTGATCTCCTGACAGAGTGATTTTCTGATTATACTGGTGGTACTAGGATAAGGTCCACAGGTTAGTAAAGCACTCAAGGCTCTTTGCCATCTGGACTCAAATGTCCTTCCTGGCACCTCTCCTCCTGCTGTTGCCCTCTCTGTTACCATGCTTTGGCCAGAAGATCTCCCTGTTTACTAATTGTGCACTGCTCTTCTGAGCTTCTATGTTTTTGTACTTGTTTGTCTTTCTACCTGGAATGCCTTTCTCCAGCTGGAAACTTGCAAACCACCCACCTGGGCGTGTCCCTCACACCTCTGTTCATCTGCCCAGAGTCTGGGCCCTGGGAGCAGGGGAACATGTGGGCACGACCAGTCCCAGCCCCAAAGGAGGGCCCTAGAGTTAACTTCTCCCATACAGGGCTGAGGTCTGCAAGATCATGGTAAATTTAGCTTATAATTTCATGCTGACTCAGAATTTCCACATAGCTGAGCTACTGGGTTGTTGAATTATTGAAACAGCATGGTTATTTTAAAACTGAATTGTCCAAGGGTCTCTGTAATTTAAGTATCAATACATCAGTGTTCCTCAAATTTCAGTGTGAAAACAAATCACCTGGAGAATTTTATTAAAATCTGTATTCAGATTCAGTAGGCCTGGGGTAGGATCCAAGATTTTGTTTTTCTAACAAGCTCCCAGGTGACAACTGTGCTGCTTGTCCGAAGCCCTTACTTTGAGTAACGTGTAGGGTCAGAACCTCAGGGGCCCTCTCTCCCATTAGCAAGGACAGGGTTACTCGTACTTCGTAAAAAAGAAATAAATTATTAATAACAGAGCAATCACCAAAACTTACTCATAAATCGGCCAGTTTCAGGGTCTTTCTCCATTTTCCAATCTGTGTATATCACTTCACCTTCCTAAAAATATTACAGGTTCCTGATCAGACAACTTAAAAGACAAGAGTCCTCCTATTCATGTGCTAAGACTGACCACGACCCAAACAAACACAAAGTAACAAGTCAATTTAATCAAACAATAATTTGGTGCAGTGTGGGGAGGGAAGGCTCAAAATGATTAGTTGATTTTATATTAAACAAAAAAATGAATTTGTTGAGTTTTTATCTACACACATTGATGGGGAGAACACAGGCAATTATGAAGCTATTCTAGGTACACAAGTTCCAACTGCTGGGTTCCCAAAGTCGTTGTTAACAAAAAATTGTCCCAAGAGACTGAAAGCTCCAGAAGGGGAGGGATCTAGTCTGCCTTATTCAGTGATTTGTTCTCAGCATGTTACAAAGTCAGTACTTAATAAATATTCATGAAATAAGAGAGAAAGAGGGAATATGTATGGTACTCATCATCTTTGAAAGTTTGAGAAGAAGAAACAGAGTTCTAGCCAAATGACATAACAAGTAATATGTATTCCAGTTCTACTTATGGCCATTTTAAGGAGAAGAGAAAGAAGAGGGACCTGGTGTAAACAAGAGGCAGAAATTGCCACACAAAGGGGAAAGACAGACGGAACCAGTGAATGAAGAGGTGGGAGAGGTTCAGAGAAAAAATTTACTCCCAGGCCACCATCTTATAAATGTAAAACCCACATGCAATCTCCTAATCCCAATGTGTTTTTCATTAAATAATAAGAGGAAAACACAGAGAAGGGTATATATTAAGATGAGTTAAGAGGACTCAGAGGAAGGGATGGATTGGGATACATAGGTGAGAGACAGGAGATGGGAAAACATTTGATTTATGCAAAGTGAAGGACAATCTCATGGGACCAGGGCCACTCATTCATTCACTCATCTGTGCTTTCATTCATCCATGTCAACTCATTTAACAAACAAGGACTGTGTGTGGCGCTGGAAATTCAGAGTCTGAAGACAAGCCCTCCCTCCCCTCTTGGTACACAGTCTAAGGGAGCAGACAGCCTGGGATGCATCTACTGTATACCTCTAGCCCATCGCCTGTGGCACATCACCCTTGGAGTTACCATTTCCTGAGCACTCAGTGCTGCTGGAGTTGTTAGGAGCTTTATGTACATGACCCCAGCCCTCACCAAAGTCCTGTAAGAGAGTTAATATCTCCTGGCTCTCACAGCTGGTATGTGGAGCTCAGAAACTGAACCGAGTCACGGGAATAATTTGCACCAGGTTAATAAATATGTGTTGAGTGGTGATTACATCACCAGCCACTTGGCTAGAAACCTTAGCATCCCCCTCCATCTGGTTACCTAGTTCCAACAATTTCACTGCCTCCATGCCTGTGTGACATTCTCGGCCCCACTGCTAAGGCCCTCTTCACCACTGGGTAGGCCCACCTGAGATCACTGTCTACCAGGCCTCTCTGCCTACAGGGCTCCACTTCCTCCAGCTTCAGCCCTGAGCCAGCCAACCTAGATCCCAGAGAGGCATCCCTTAAACTCTCTATCCAAAGTACAAGGATCAGTCAGCCACGTCAGGGGTTGGCAGGAGAGCATCCCACTGGATGGTCAGCCCCGCGAGGGCAGGGAATTTTGGATGTCTGTTCTCTGCTATATTCCCTGGGCCAAGAACAGTGCTTGGTATATATTAAATGTTCAGTAAATATCTGCTGAATAATGAATGATATTCACTCCAAGGAGTGCAAGGACTTGAAAGGCAGGAAAGAGTTTGGTAAGAAGAATGAGAGAAAAAATCAGAGCAGACAGAGAGAGTGAGTAGACTGGTGCAGATGGGGGTGGAGAGAGAGAAAGGGGCCAAATGATGCAGAATCTTACATCATTTGGTGTAAGGAGTTTGAATTTTTCATGTGTCACTAAGTAGTCACTAAAGAGGAGTTTAAGCAGAGGGTGTCATGCTTTAATTTCTGCTTTAAGATTTTGTGGTTATTTCTCTTTCTAAAGCTATCATTCTTGGCTTACAAAACTTTGGTGTGCACAGAGACAAATATTATATGAATCCACTTACGTGAGGTACCTAGAACAGTGAAATTCATTGAGACAGAAAGTAGAATGGTGGTGCCAGGAGTGGGAGGCAGTAGGGAATGGGGAGTTACTGCTTTAATTGCTACAGAAGTTTAATTTGGGAAAATGAAATAGTTCTCAAGATGGATGGTGTTGATAGCTACTCAACGATATGAATGTACTTAATACCATTGAACTGTACACTTAAAAATGGTTAAGGGGGACCTTCAAGATGGCGGAGGAGTAAGATGTGGAGATCACCTTCCCCCCCACAAATATATCAAAAATACTTCTACATGGGGAACAACTCCTACAGAACACCTACTGAACACTGGCAGAAGACCTCAGACTACCCAAAATGGTCTTGGTGCTCCAGCTGGGCGTCAAGCCTGAGCCTCTGAGGTGGGAGAGCTGAGTTTAGGACACTGGACCACCAGAGACCTCCTGGCCCCACATAATATCAAATGGTGAAAGCTCCCCCAGAGATCTCCATCTCAACGTGAAGACCCAGCTCCACTCAATGACCAGCAAGCTCCAGTGCTGGAAATCCTATGCCAAACAACTAGCAAGACAGGAACAGAACCCCACCCATTAGCAGAGAGGCTGCCTAAAATCATACTAAGTTCACAGATACCCCAAAACACACCACCAGACGTGGTACTGCCCACCAGAAAGACAAGATCCAGCCTCACCCACGAGAACATAGGCATCACTCCCCTCCACCAGGAAGCTTACACAACCCACTGAAGCAACCTTACCCACTGGGGTCAGACACCAAAAACAATGGGAAATATGTACCTGCAGCCTGTGAAAAGGAGACACCAAACACAGTCAGCTAAGCAAAATGAGAAGGCAGAAAAATACACAGCAGATGAAGGGGCAAGGTAAAAACCCACCAGACAAAACAAATGAAGAGGAAATAGGCAGTATACCTGAAAAATAATTCAGAAATGATAGTAAAGATGATCCAGAATCTTGGAAATACAATGGAGAAAATACAAGAATTGTTTAACAAGGACCTAGAAGAACTAAAGAGCAAACAAACAACCATAAACAACACAATAAAAGAAATTAAAAATTCTCTAGAAGGAATCAATAGCAGAATAACTGAGGCAGAACACAAAAGACCCTGAATAGCCAAAGCAATCTTGAGAAAGAAAAACGGATCTGGAGGAATCAGGCTCCTTGACTTCAGACTATACTACAGAGCTACAGTAATCAGGACAGTATGGTACTCGCACAAAAACAGATATATAGGTCAATGGAACAGGATAGAAAACCCAAAGATAAAACCACGTACATATGGTCACATTATCTTTGATAAAGGAGGCAGGAATATACAATGGAGAAAAGCCAGCCTCTTCAATAAGTGGTGCTGGGAAAACTGGACAGCTATATGTAAAAGAATGAAATTAGAACACTCCCTAACACCATACACAAAAATAAACTCAAAATGGATTAAAGACCTAAATGTAAGGCCAGACACTATAAAACTCTTAGAGGAAAACATAGGCAGAACACTCTATGACATAAATCACAGCAAGATCCTTTTAGACCCACCTCCTAGAGAAATGGAAATAAAAACAAAAATAAACAAATGGGATCTAATGAGACTTAAAAACTTTTGCAGAGCAAAGGAAACCATAAACAAGACAAAAAGACAACTCTCAGAATGGGAGAAAATATTTGCAAATGAAGCAACTGACAAAGGACTAATCTCTAAAATATACAAGCAGCTCATGCAGCTCAATATCGAATAAACAAACAACCCAATCCAAAAATGGGCAGAAGACCTAAATAGACATTTCTACAAAGATATACAGATTGCCAACAAACAGGTGAAAGGATGCTCAACATCACTGATCATTAGAGAAATGCAAATCAAAACTGCAATAAGGTATCACCTCACATCGGTCAGAATGGCCATCATCAAAAAATCTAGAAACAATAAACGCTGGAGAGGGTGTGGAGGAAAGGGAACCCTCTTGCACTGTTGGTGGGAATGTAAA